GAAATGGGCGTAAACACTACATTGGTGAATGCCACAAATTCTCCTAAATCACTCGTACGCACAACTTAAGAACAAATCTGTGCGTACGAACGGTTCTTGCATGAGGTCCATTGTGAGCATCTCAGTACTAGAATGTCAGAAACTGTTCTAACCAAAGTCTTAAAGTGCCCGTGATATGCATATTCTTCAAATACAAAAAGTCAAAGAAAGCATCTTTATATTTAAGAAAGTTGGAATAATACACATGATTTAACCCATTTTGTCCCATAATTGAGATAATTTTGAACTTGGCTCAGGCAAAGTGAAATCAAAGCATAGATTTTTCAGATCTTATCATTTTTTTACATATTGCTTGTTTATATTGTTGTTTTTCTTTTGGCTCCTCCTATCTGCAGAGATTGAAACAGTGAGCACACTTGCACGAAATGTTTAGCAATTGTTTTACGCCGGATGCTTTTTCTTGATGCTGATCTACTGCAGCTCCCAATTATTACTTGTTAAACAACAATTAATGCAAATATTTGTTATAGAGRGCTCTTGCAGGGTTCGTACGGGTGCTTGAAATCCTTGAAAATGCTTGAATTTTTGCAGTGTTTTCAAGGTTTGTAAAGTGYTTGATTTCTGTATATAGTCCTTGAAAGTGCTTGATATTCTAACAGCACAGTTTTGTAATAAATAGCATAAATAGCACTCTAAAAATGTGATGTTTTTGTTTAAGGCACAAAATAGAGAGCGATTATTTCACCTTTAACGAAGTCTCAGAAAACCTGGCTGCCGCTCAGAGTGGGTTTTCATAACACCGGTGTGTGAGCAGTAGAGCTCACCTGATGAAGACCAGCAGCTGGACCGGCGGCGTCCTCTGCCGCAGTTATGAAGGTCCACATTCTGCCTATATTTCCATTTCATTTTAATACTATAACTTGCATAGTCAGTCTTATTCAGTATTTTAGATTTTTAAATGGCTCCCTGCACATAGTGACTGCTGTATGTGCCAGGTTATAAAGCTCAATGGAGAAAGGTGCACGATGCAGACTGCCCTCAAGTTTGGTGCCGAAAAAGTTTGACAATTTACCTTGAAAATGCTTGAAAAGTGTTTGACTTGTAAAGTGGGAAAAGAGGATAAAGCCTGTATTTGAACAACCTCCTGGGGAAATAAAGCCTAATCATTCCTGATGAGCTAGTGGCTAGTCAGAGGAAAGCCACGACCAAAAATATTGGTGATATAATCAAATAATAATTTTTCTAACAAGTTTAGCTGCTGTTAGTTATTTCATGCTTTAAAGAAAGGTCATATAATATCATGGTTGTGTATGAGGGGGCAGGCAGGACTTAAAGCCCAATGTTGCTAGTGCTCAGACTCTGGTTCCAAAAATACAACAGAGGCAGCTTGTAAAACAGTTGCTACTGGCTTCAGTTCCCAGCAGTGAGAGAAGGTGCGAACATTTGGTCTGTAAGTATATTATGCTACTTCTTGGCCCTGCTTGACCTAGCTGTTAGCACATACTGTATTTGTTGTCAAAATTCAATTATTTTTCTCCCAACTAAGTTCATTCAGCAAGCTGTCTACAGCAGGTAAGATATTGCTCATCACATTATAACAGAACACTCATAATTTTTAAGTTCATAAATGTTAAACCTTTATCGCTGACTTCCTGCTCAGCCACTCTTTGTTTCTACAAAGAAAGGGGCATCTGTCTACATTAGTATTTCTCAGAGAGTCTGATAATGCATTCRGACAGATAAATGTTTTCTGGGAAGACAGTGAGCATATTGGCTCTCATCTTCATTTGGAGGAGCGTTTGTCAGCAGGACATACATCACGGAGGCTGCTGCTTGACAGTGATACTCCTTGTTGGTCAGTGCTGTATTATTGGCCCTGATAAACTCCCGCTAGAAAATAAAAACAAGTCCTTCAGGCTAGACAGCAGCCAAATACACAAACACCTCATCTTTATCAATTGGACAGCTTTTCCCAACTGAGGCGTTGCGTCTGTTTGATTCACCAACACAAGAACTGCTATTTTTGGCGTTGGTACCAAAAAAAGGTGATTTCCTCTTTTCTCTGCATCCAGTTTGTCAGATCATGAACTGTCAGCTGAGCTAAATAAAGTGCTTAGCTGTGAAGCACGCAGCTGAGGAGAGAGATCTAAATGTGTTAAACACGTCTTTCTATACAGCTTGCATGTGAGCTGGAAATACTTTTTAAAAAGCTTGAAGCTTAATTTAGCATTTTCAAGGTTTAAACTGTGTTTTAATCTCAACTAAAACTACTACTTTTTATTTAGTTGTCCTTAAAAATATGACTCGACAAGCTTTACTCTTAAGAGTTTTTTGTGTRCAGTGACCTGAGACAACAATTGTTGTGATTTGGCGCTATATAAATAAACTGAACTGAACTGAAATTGAATTAAAGCTGAATCATTTATTTTGATTGGTATGCKTTTAATTTAAAAAGAAAAAGCATCGTGAATGCAAATAGACTGCCTCACACTTGTTTTTTTATTAACTAATGTATAGAAATATACAGTAAGAAGTCAGATGATGGGTTTTAAGAGCACAATAATTTTATTGGGGGGAGAAATGAAAAGTGAAAATTTTATCCTGTATCTTGTTGCACAGTTTTGTAATAAAACCTGCAAATTTACATCATTGCATGACTTTTGAAAACAAAAGTTGGTCCAAAAAATTAACTAAGGCAATAAATAATAAATTTAATAAAATGATGACATTAAACCACATCATGTATTCAAAAAGTCTTTTTTTTCTAATCTGTTAGTCATAGATGGGAACAAAACAAAACAGGAACTGAGGTCATATCTCTACAATGTAGTCATGTTGTGATGTTACAGTTGATCAGTGGACTTTTTAGCTTTTTTATGGTGGTCAAAAACATTTCATTAGTTCATTTCATTTATTTAACTTTTATCATTCTTTCTGTACTGAAAGCCCGACTTTTACAATCAACTGATAAACTGATTCAGCTGTAATATATCAGACAAGTAAACCTTTTTTTGTTCACGACTAGGACATTTTTAAATTAGTTGTCGTCTTGTCAACCACTGATTGTAACGTTGCACTTGCCAAGTTAATTACTGAGATCTCGAAGCACTCAAACATCGCCAAGAGATTTGAAAATACAATCAGCCCARCAATCAATGATGGTCTTGAACATATTGCAAAGTCAGAATGACATTTGGAATAGAAGAAAACAAAATCTTGGCTATTTATTTAGTTTTTAAAAAGAACAAACAATGTAAGGTTTTGCAAAGACATCAGAAAGGATTTTTACTTTGCAAACCTCTGASTTATTTATGAACTTTATCCCATACTGATGTATGACCTCACCAACAAGTGRTCTAGTTCTCAGCATTTATTCAAATAAGATGCTTTTTTGTCATTTCTTTTTGTATAAAAGAGCAGATTTCAGACAGAGGTTTTATTACACAGCTGGATAAATGAACTTGCAGCCATGTCACTGTTATGATTCCATATGAGTGATAAGCAGAGCGAGGGTCTCATTGTCAGGCTTTCTGCATATCTCTCATTTCTGTGCTTTAGGCTTTGATCTAATCCGAGCTGTCTTTACAAGCCACTGTTTGTCAGTCATGCATTTTTTTTTTGTTATTTCTTGCTTGCTGTGTCTGTCACTCTGTATTCTGTTCTCCATCTTCTCTCTTTCCCTCACCCCATGCCTTCACAATCATTCTTCCTTCTTCCTCTCACCGGTGATCTTTCCTCTCTGACCCAGTTGCGTTACTCGACACACTCCGCTACGGTGCACCTCTCCGCTGACCCTCTGCAGACACGTTATTATTAGTTAACCTCCGTAGCAGCTTCCTGCGTGCAGCTGACAGGAATGCCTTGTTGGTCCTGACAGCCGACAGTCATCGCTGTCTGTCTCGCTGTCTGCAGGCGCGTGACAGAAAGGCACCCTGCATCTGTCTCGGCTCAGAGGAGAATATGGTGCCTCATGTGCTGTCATCTGCACGCCCGTATGTGGAGAGAGATCCCACTTCCTGCTGCTTACACAAAATCACGCTGGGTGAATCTGTGCATTCATATGATGATGAGATTCCAAATCTCTGAAGGATGCAATCTATAATGCATCAGTTTTTTTTTCTGCATACGGCTATAAAGTCATTAAAGTTGTTAGCTTACATAACAGAATATCTCATGCAGTTTAAAAAGGCTTGGAACTCCACACTCTTCAGGATTTGAATTGAGAAATCTCCCTGAATGGGAAGAGAAATATCCTCAGCTACAGAATAGAAGTCCAGTTGTTTCTTGTGTTTGTTTGGATTGACCAGAATCTGGATTACTGAGAAGCTACACCAGCGTACGACCCATTGAACGAGCTCAGCTGGKAGACAAAATTTACTTCTGGTTGAACTGATCAGCTAACATTGTCTCAACAAACTCGCCATAATTCATTTAAATAGTGAGAATAGGTTCAAAATAGGCTGATCATTATGTGAAACCTCTGAAGCTGAGCCAGATTAGCTCTTTCAGGTAATTTACATTTTGACTTGGATAAAAATCCAGGACATGTGATATTAGGGCTGGACAATAAAACAGTAAAAAAAATTTAATTTTATTTTATTTTATTTTTATTTTATTTTTTT